TTTTAAACTGTCCCTTTACATTCTATATTTCATGGTCGGCTTCCATATGAGGAACATTTTTCTGACGACTTCTGACGTTTGAACCACTTTGTCGAATCAGGAGAGGCATCGGCTTTTTAGTTCTTCAGAGAGCTTGTTGAAACTCGCGGTTCTGAGTAGCCGATCGTTCGTTACTCGATGACACCTCCGCAATTTATAGATATTGCGCAAGCAGTGTCGCTGGAAACAGTCGTTGCTGACCGTGGCGTTTCAGGCTTACAGCTGTCTCGAGGTCATACAAAGGAACGAAGAAGACCGCTGCTTTCAAGATGGTAACCTTCGTCTATATCGATATTGAGTTGACCTTCCGTGGACTTCGATGTTACACGGCAAAGTTTCGTCGCTGCAAGTTCAATACGCCGATTAATGTCTGAGTAACAGCTTCCATCGTTAACGATAACTGAACCCGAGTACTTGAACCGGTCAATTTACTCTACCGTCTACAATTACATTTTACCTCTAGGATTTAGTAGTACGCATGAGTACGATACAACCATTATAATCGCAGTCAACGTTACTATCGCCACAACTTGTAATATTTCTATCACTAAGACGACTTTTAGGTGTGCATATAACAATAAGTCCATTGACAATGGCAGTGGCAGTATTGAGATCAGAATTAGCATAGTCACTCCTATATACAGTGCCATTATTAAAGTAACCATTTGCAGAACGTCGTAATAACAGTAGTTTTACTAGCAATGACAGTGGAACTACAGTCACTAGTAGTACTATCGCTATTACTGTAAATGGTAATTACAGTAGTTATATCAACAATGACAGAGACTATTATTACTACCATCAGTACGGTAAATCTACTGTTATTATCACTACAATGAGGCATCGTGATAATTTTTAGTATCAGTACTATTTTCTTCAATGTAGTACGATCGTTGCTACAACTAATCGCGGTGATAATGACAGCATTTATAAGCAACATGTTTATAATTAATTTCACTGATCGTAGTGCTACTGACAGCTGATGGCGGCAATACTAAAGTAACTATACTAGTAGCACTAATAGTAGTTAAGCAATTGTTATCTTTCCACACATAATTGCAAGCAAAGTACAGCAAAGTTTTACTACTGACGTATCAGCAATTGTTTAACAGGTCTATCATCTTGACATATGATACGAGTCAATCGATTACCGGTACGCAGCAATTCAAGCAAGAATGTGTCAAGGAAGAGAAAAAATTTCTTTCCATATTTTACCTTGTGCAGGAAGTACGTATGGTCTGATATCAATAAAAATAGCACTTACATCATCGTCTTCATAGATGATCGAGGCGGGGATTTCCTTGCGCACAATTTTTCCAAAAATGGTGTCCTTTTCGGGGACTGCCGTTTGCGCCTTCTGCTCTTCGGACATTTTCCTTGAAAATAGATCACAGACCATTAGCTGGTTAAACTTTCGGGCAAAAACAACGTTTAACGCCAACTTCAGCATTATTAAATGAACCCTAAACCGAAAACTACTGTAAAATACAAAAAAGCGAAAGGCTCCCAAGCTAAATGACGAAACAACATATACAAAACAGCAAATTCGCTACTACGGTAACTCTGGGCAAGGTTGTGGGAGGGGGATTTTTTTACTTGCTTTCCCTTCGACTCGTAATTTAAACAGTTAGTTAACTGTTGCCAAATACATTAATTACATGCTTGCTTAGTCATTTATTTACTTAAATACGTACCTACTTGTTTCATATGTACTTGACATTTAGTTACTTCTTGCGCTGATGATATTGAAATTTCTACTAATTTGATAGCATACGTAATTACTTATCTGCTATTTACTTGCTTAATTATTTACTTACTGAATTACTTTATTTATTGAATTACTTTTTTAGAAAATTAATTCGTTAAGTACTCATTCGTTTATTTAATTACTTTTTTATGCTCATGAAAGCACAGATATATTATTACAAATCGGTAAACCGAAACCAGCGGTGCTTTTACAGTCCCGTCTAAAGAGTAAAACTTAAAATATTTTTGTTTTATTACTCAACTAAGCAGTACTACCGTTACAATACAGAGGAATTCAACATATGACATCGCTTAGGTGCAGTTAAACGATGCAGTTTATTAGCAACCCTCTTTATCTTGTACTTGCGAAGCATCGACGAACGATAATGAAGCACTGCTTAGGTGAATACGGCATAAGACTGAAGGCTACGACTTTAAATTACCATACAGATATGGTCAAGGATCGACCAACATGCACTTTTTATAAAGAATGCACGCTTTTCAGCTGCAAATACTAAGGCCTTGAAAAATATTTTGACCTTCTGGATAATCAAAATATTACTACATTATTTCGGCAAGCCTTCAAGAAGCTAACAAATAGAATTGCAGAAAAACGGTAGATAAGGTGAAAGGAAAGCTAAGCCACATTCAAGAGACATGAAAGATACATCCACTATTCGAGATTACTGCCCATGGTTAAAATGACAGATTTGATCACAAAAACAATAGTGACATATTCAAGCGAAAGGGCTACACAGAAAATTGCTATGAATTTAAATTTCGAGTCAGTGATATGAAAAGCCGTCATTTACGAGTATAATGATTGGCCACGGAGAGCGATTTCACATCCACGCTACCGAAATCTAATCAGCAGGTATTTTCTTAAACGCTACTGAAAAATACTAAAGTTTCTGTCGTCATGCCTGCGATCGGTTCATTTAATGACGTCTGAGGTTTATGACGTACGTGCAACCACCAAACTTCGGTTATTGAAAAAAATGATTTCGACTTATTATGACTACTAACGTACGAGTGAATAACTCCAAAATACTTTTTGACCTAAAGACATTTTCGTCTCATACTACAACTTGAGATATGGTAACATAACAATAGTAATTATTTTTAAAGTCATTTACCAGCATTTTTTCTCAATCTTGGAAGAGAAACAATATATCATTATGCTGAACTATGCAAGAATGCATGTTAATGTAGCACTTAACATCCCAGCAATTGATATGTTTATGAAGGCAAAATTTGCATAACGTATGAAATTTTGAATGTGGGATAGTTTTGGGAAATGACAGTTTGTCTGAAGCGAGAGGAAATTTGGAAACGATTGTGTCGCTGAGAAATTAATTTTGGCGCCAACATAGTCAGGGCTAGGTGACGCCTCAAGAATCATCTTCGCCAACGTGTTTTGCGCAATTATTCTCATTGTCAATCGTTCGTGACAAGCAACTTCGAGATTAAACTTGTGGCAAATAAATAAAAAATGACGAACACTCACACTCAGATATGTAACTTAGTCACTGAGTAGTTTTCATTGGGATGATGAGTCAAAAGCCAATTAATTATATCAACAGCTTCATCGTCATCTTTGTCTGTTTTTTGTCTACTTCAGTGTTCCACCCAGTCTTCTGTAGTAAGGACGAGGTGCCATAACTTTATATATTAGGGTTGTGTAACATTATGCTTATTGACAAATGTACGATGGTGCTGGCTGTGATCAGGACAGCCGAAAGTTTCCTCTAACTCAAAGAGTTGACAATATCAATGTGTGCAAGATTAAGGGGCAGCAATCTTGAGGAAAGGAAAGCAGGGCGCATGAAAAACTAGATGGAAAAACGTTGATCACAGAGAAAAGGTCTCAAACAAGAAAGCAGAAGACAAAGACAAACAGAAGATCTCAGGATTACCCAATCGGAAGGTGAATAATATTCCATTATGGTGCAACATTCTGTGACATATAAGTACACTATTTCTTTGGAAAACGCAACGCACTGGAAAAACTGGTACACGCTTCTAGCTGCCTCAATTGCGACTTTGGCACAGATATCAGCGTCACATGAAAAATATCGAATAGTTGTCCAGCCCAACAACCCAGTCGTTTGGGTCAACCTGGCTCTCATGTAAATGACCCATAGCAAATCTCATTGTAACTCTGAAGATGGACTGAGATTGATCAGAAAAGACAGCTTTTGCGTAGAATGTTCATGGTTAAAGGTTTTATAAACGGCAATTTCATATGGGACATTTAAAAACATTGCTGCCTTCTGCATAATGAGATCATTTCATATTTTTGAGATGAAAAATGACAAAATTTCGCCACAGAAGGGAGCTTATGAATAAAATTTTTATTGCTACGAATTATTCTTTGGGTTCTGTGACTGTTGCGAATATCAATTTGAGCGGTTTAATATGCGGAACTTTTCCAGTTCGTGACATCCGTTGTATCTATACGATTTCAACACTTTGCTATGAAGGATTGGTTATGCATCGCAAAAGGAAATATTCATCTCTGACAGCATATCTTCCTCTCCTTCTTCGATATTACTTGCTGACCTCCTTGTGGACGTGAACCGTGTTCTGACTCAAATGCAGGAGGCTCAGAAACTGGGGGAAATGGTGTTGCCCAACGAGTCTGTCTAACATGGTCAACGTCCTTTTCTTAATCTCCCCATCTACTGAGGTCACCTGTGCCAGGAAGTGAATAGAGTCATTCCTTACGTGGTCATATCATTTGATCATTAGTACGCGCTGAAGCCCACCGCTGATACACGGTCCAGCCGTCGCTCTTGCTTC